GGGGCAGGGGTCCCAGGAGGGGGCAGTCAGGGGACAAGGAGCGGGGGGAGGGTTGGAGGTTCTGAGGGGGGGAAGTGGGAGGGGCAGGGGCGGGGCTAGGGCAGGATGGGGCGGGGCTAGGGCAGGACAGGGGCGGGGCTCCTCCCATCCTCTTTTTTGCTTGCTGGATTATGGTAACCCTAAAAGTGAGCAACTACTGAAAAAAAAGAGCAATTAATGTCTAAAGGAAGGGTTGAAAACTGACAAGAAGTAGAAATTCCTGGAAGTTTGGAAGAAGGGGTGAACATCCTTAATTATGAAATGAGCACATGCCCAATTCTGTTATATAAAGCCAGACACATGATTTTTTTTAAAAACTAAAGTTTCATGCAGGTCATCACAAAAAGAGATTTGTTTGTATTTTTCTATAGTAGCAAAGTACTAATCCCATCTCTTATAACTATTCAAAACCCAGGTGGATTAAAAATACAGTCAATCACAAACTTATTTTCCTTTCCATCCACCAGAATCAACCCTCTGATACAGCTCGTTTGATACAGTTGAATCCCCAACTGATATAGAGCCAACATAGGGGATGCGTCGGAGGGATGGAGAACTCCAATTAAAGACATTGCTCTGCTCTGTCAATTCCCAGCTAAAATAAAGCCTTTTAGGGGCTGTTACCAATCACCATAAATTGGAGCAATTCTGAGGTTGCTCTAAATCAGTGGTTCTTAACCTGGGGTGCACACACCCCATGGGGGTGCGAGATGCCCTTTCTGGGGGTGCGAGACATGCCAGATTTTCCGTGCTTTTTGCGAAGAAATTGGTGCCGAGCACACTGTCTTCCTTTTCCATACAGAAGTGAGGTGGCTTTCCCGTGGCTGAATGCTTACTCATATTTTTGAAATGCGTGAAGAAATAAGTCAGTTTCTTTGTAACCAAAGCAGTAATTTAGCTGATGACTTCGAAAACAGAGAGTTTATCCTTTGCCTAGCATACATGGCAGATGTATTCACACACCTAAATGAACTCAACACATCTATGCAAGGAACTGGGATGAACACGGTAACAGCCAGAGAGAAGTTATCTGCTTTTATTCGGAAACTTCCAGTTTGGATAAAGCGTGTTGAGAAATGAAATTTCACTAACTTTCCTTTTCTTGAAGAAACAGTTGTTTCGGAAAATGAAGGAATGACTATCACAACTGAAGTGACAAAGCATTTGCAACAGTTGAGTGACTCTTTCCAAAGGATATTTTTCCACTGAAGATCTTGATGTGGCAAAGAAATGGATACTGGATCCATTTCTTTTTAACCTGGATTCTATCAATGATAGTGATTTGATGAAAGATGATCTCATTGAATTACGAGCCAATGGCTGAATCCGAATGGAGTTTGAGACCATGAAGCTTGAGAATTTCTGGTATGCTCAACTAGCACCGTTTCCACAACTGGCGAAGACAGTGCTGGAGATCCTTATGCCATTTGTGACTACATACTCGTGTGAGATAGGATTTTCATCACTCTTACAGATCAAAACAAAGGCCATTAACCACCTAAATGCGAGTGATGACATGTGTGTGGCTTAATAAAGCCCAGGGCCAAACCAGCCTTAGGTCACCCTTAGGATTGGGAAAGAGCACAGGTGATATAACAGCTACCTCACTCCTCCTTCAGGTCCTGATTTGAGCAGTTTGGCTGGTCCTGAGGACTGGATCCCATATGTTTAA